ATTACTTCTTGATGCATTGGCTACAGAATGCATGTTCTGTTAGCAAGCATGAAAACAACATTCATCTCATTGTATATCTCCATCAGCGCTCCTACTTGACCAGGCAAATTGTCAATGAGCAGTAATATTTTGAAAGGAAGCTTTTATTTTCCTTCTGAGCAGTAGGTCTCAGTAGTGGGTTTAAGATATTCAGTAACCATATTATAAACAGATGTGCTATCATCTAGGCTTTGTCGTTCCATTTGCAGAGCACAGGCAGAGCAAGTTTAGTAAAATTCTAAAGGGCCCTAGGAGTTTCACAATGGTAAATGAGCACTGGCTTCAACTTAAAGTAACCAACTGCATTAGCCCCTTTGTCCTTTGAAGCTTTGAAGCCAGGCGTTGAGTTCTCCTCTATATCTATGGGAGTCATGGATAGCATTTTTTTTTTCCTTCAAAAAAGGCTTTTTGTGTCTACATTAAAAATATGTTGTCTGGTGTAAGTGCCTGTGTTATTATCTCGGCCATGTCTTCTGGGTACTGCAGCTCCTACATTGGTATTGTTGCTTCATCCTGCACTTTTATGTTGGAGAGGCAGGAGTCTTTCCTTAAACCTCATGAACCAACCTCTGTGAGTTTCAAACTTTTCTTCTGCAGCACCTCAGCCTTAGTAGATTTGAAGAGAGTGATGGTCTTCTTCCAGACTAGGCTTTGGCTTAAGGGAATGTGGTGTCTGATTTGATCTTCCATCCCGCCCGTTCAAACTTTCTCCGTGTTGGCAGTAGGGCTGTTTTTCTTTCTTTTCATTCATGTGTTTACTGAGCAGCACTTTTAGTTTTCTTCAAGAATTTTTGTGCTGCATTCACAACTTGGCCAACTGTTTAGGTAAGAGGACTAGCTTTCAGCCTGTCTCAAATTTCAACATGCCTCCCTCACTAAGCTTCACCATTTTTAGCTTTTTGCTTAATGTGAGAGACATGCGACTTCCTTTTGCTTGAACACTTAGAGGCCGCTGTAGGGTTATTGATTGGCCTAATTTCTGTGTTTCTGTGTTTTAGAGAAGAGAGAGGCCAAAGAAGAGGCCTCTACTCACTGTTAGTAGAGGCAGTGGATGAGTCCTAACCCTTGGCTTCCAGAGGTCTTTAGTTTCCTCATTTTCTAGTGATAAGTTGTATTGGCCAATGACTGTCATAAATATTTATAGAAGGCTTTCCTGGTGGTCCAGTGGTTAAGAATCCGCCTGCCAATTCAGGGGACACCAGTTCAATCCCTGGTTTGGGACAATCCTGAACACTGCAGGGCAATTAAGCCCAAATACCGCATCTGCTGATCCCACGTGCCTAAGGCCTGCACTCCACAGCAAGAGGAGCCACTGCAAGGAGAAGCCCACACACCAAAAGTAGAAAGTAACCCTTGCTCATTGCAACTGGAGAAAGCCCATGCACAGCGCCAGAGGCCCAGCACAGCCAAAATAAATGTTTAAAAATATATATATATATATATACACACACATATACATATATATATATGAGGTATATACACGGCACCACAAAAAGTCAGGAAAGAAAGAGACCAGGAAATATTTGAACTTTGGTGAACTGGAGGGTGTGGCCCCCAACCCAGAGAACAGGAAGTGAAGGAAATAAGCAAGATCTTGAGAACTGAATAAACAGGCCTCATGCCATCGAGGTCTTGTCCAGTCTGTGTGCTCTCTCTCCCTCCTTCCTCCCATCTCTGTTTCACTCAATGTCCCTTCAAGCACAGAAAGAAATCTGCTAGTGTCAAGTGATAAATAGCGTGTTGTAGGCAAAGTAAAATATGTAAAAGATGATGACTAATGGCAGAGTGGGCACTGATAAGGCAGAGAAACATGCTTGAGATAAAGAATTTCAAAAATCAGATTTATTTGATTAAAAAAAACAAAAAAACTTCCCTTGCCTTAACTAGAAAAATAGGAGCACCAGACAACAGCAAAAACCCTAGCTCATTTGTTATATTTATTGGCAAAGTGAAATATAGCTGGTGTCTCCTTGAGAGCAATTTATTCCACAGAGGAGGAAGAAATAAGCAGCCTCTAGTGGCCTTTTGGGCGCCAGCTTCCTCTTACCTCCCTTTCACCTTATTCTTCCAGACTAACTTATAAAGCTGGAGGAAAAGAAGCAAGAGGAAAACTTCTCAGTGAAAAACAAGGGTGTGAATTCATTGCGAATGAATGCAGCATTTTACTGAAAACTGGACCCTTCTCCTCAGGTCTCACAAGGGCCGGTGGGGGGGAATCCTTGCCTGCACAAAGCCCGCCGGGGTCCACCCCTAACAGCCTCAACAGATGCTCCTGAGGAAGTCAGACAGCGGCTTACCATAGCCTGGGCTTGTTCCAGCAGCGGGAGACTGAATCTTTTCCAAGGTGGGTGGTGAGTGTTGTGAGTGGAGGTCAGAGGTCCTGAGTTTCTTCGGGCAGGCTCCTAACTTCTCTGATCTGTCTCCTCATCTGAAAGCTGCAAGAATAATAAGATCTTCCCTTGTATGTGTCCCTGGAGTCAAATGAAACAAGCTAAATGGGAAAAAATTACGAGATGTGTTATGGACAAAATCGTGTCCTCATTTGCTAACTCTTTGCAACTCCATGGACTGCAGCACACCAGGCTTCTCTGTCCTTCAGTATTTCCCAGAGTTTGCTCAAACTCAGTTTCACATATTAAGGCCTTACAGGACTTCACAGAGGGGATTAAGTTAAACTGAGGCTGTTCGTGCGTGTTAGTCACTCAGTTGTGTCCAACTCCTGTGACCCCCTGGACTGTTGGTCACATACTTGTGTCCAGCTCTTTGCAACCCTCCAGGCTCTTCTGTGCATGGGATTCTCCAGGCAGGAACACTGCAGTGGGTTGCCATGCCCTTCTCCAGGGGATCTTCCCAACCCAGGGATTGAACTTGGGTCTCCTGCACTGCAGGCGGACTCTTTTTCATTTGAACCACCTTGTCTGTTAGAGTGGGTCCTAAACCAACCTGGCTGATGTCCTTATGAAAAAAAAGAAATCTAATTAAAGAGACACCAGGGATGCAGGCACAATGGAAAGACCGCGTGAAGACACAGCAAGGAATTAGCATCTGCAGGCCAAGGAGAGAGGCTGGAGGAGGAACCAACCTGCCAACATCTTGATCTTGAACTTGCAGGCTTGAGAACCGTGAGCAAATGGAGTTCTGCTGTTTAAGCCCCCACACTATGGTATTTTGTCACGGCATCCCTAGCAACTGAAAATAAGATGGAAGTCATTTGTCCCTTATATATGGAATCTCAAAGGAAATGAGACAAATGAGCTTATTTACAACCCAGAAGGAGACTCATAGACTTAACTATGGTTGCCAGGGGGCAGGATGAGGGTGGGGAAGGACAGTTAGGGAACTTGGGCTGGACATGTACACACTGCTGTATTTAAAATGGATAACCGACAGTGACCTACTATACAACACAGGGAACTCTGCTCAATGTTATGTGGCAGCTTGGGTGGGAGGGGAGCTGGGTGGGGGAAGAATGGATACACGAATATGCATGCCTGAGTCCCTTCACTCTTCACCCGAAACTATCACAACATTGCTAAACAGCTATAGTCCGATACAAAATAAAAAATTAAAACAAGATGCAAGTCATTATACAGATGCTAGTGATAACTAGAAAAATACAAACATAGGATGTGTAGCACAGCTGCGTAGGGACCCCATGGCATCATTCTACCTCTCCATCAACATCCTTTCCCCCGGAACACACACGCCCTCCCCAGGCAGATGACAGACGCCCCCATTCAGATGAGTGACACTTCCTTTGAAGAGAAATATCCTTTCCCACCTCCCATTTCCTGTCCTCCCCACATCCTCCCACTAGCAGCATTATCTGGACCCTAATTACCAAAAACCAATTTTACATCCTTCAACCATGAGACAGCAAATGTGAAGAAGATGAAAAGGAAATGAATATTTATAAATGAAAAGGGCAGGGGTTAACTCTCTGGTAGAGTATAATTAAATATCTTTCTCCTTAAAGCATTAAATATTTTGTGGGGATTTTATACTTTGTGCAAGTGTCACAAATATCAATATTTATGCTATGCAATGCTAGCAAAGAATACAAAATATGATTTTTTTCACAGCACAATACTAATTTTGAAAACAATGTCAAAATGAATTCATAATTATATGGATATGGAAATGTCTTTGCTCTTTGAACTCTGCAAACCATCAGAAAGTGATTTATTTTTCATTTTTCTTGCTGCCTAAAAACATTAAAAAATTTAATCTCTGTTGTTTTTCACAAGATAGATTACTTGAGCAGTGGATTTGGGGCAGGAAAATGAGACCCTCACATCTCTTGTCTTTATTTCATTTCCACATGGATTGCCACTGACACCTGTCCCTTTCAATAACCACTGAAAATTAGTGACTGGTCCCCAAAATTGCAGATTTGAGTTTAAATTCAGAGCTGAGAGCAAAAACTCTCCAAACAGTCCCTTCACCCTGAGAACTCTCACTGTGCCCAGAGGCAAATGATTTCTTTTTATCCTCTTTCCATATCACCCTTTAGGTGATGCCTTCAGAAATTCATCTAATTTCTATTTCAGATCCCATTGCCAAAATGCCAAATGTTACAGGTGTCCAGGGATTCTGGTTCAGCAATTAAAACAAGATGAGACAAAAACCTAGATTGGTGCAAAAAGCTAATGGTGACTATAATCCTCTAGTTGGGTTTCGTTTTCATCTTTCAAGTCTTCATGCCATGAAGTTTGTGTCTCAGTCTTGCTTTAACTCAGGGCACCTGTTAAGATTCTCGCTCTGCCTTTGGGTGCCAAGGTCCTGAAGGGCATGGATGATCACAGGTAACCCTGGAGTTTCCATCACCAGTGCCCAGAGCCATTCACTCAGTGCCTGATGAACTCAAATGTGGGAAGGGCAGTAGATCAGATGGGCAGACGGAGGTGGAATTATCAGAACATGGGGAGATGCTTGCCTCACAAAGATACTAGAACTCTGGGCCCATCTTCAGAAGATGAAACTGACCTTACTCACAGCTTTTATTCCCCATTCTCTAGGGGGCACTTCTAAGCTGACACAAAGTAAGTATTTCACATACGGCAGCTGCCCACCAGCCATCACCCAAGAGACATTTTATTTCAAGGGATCTAGTCATTGGCAGAGAAATGGTGCTTTGTTTTCGCAGAAACTCTTCACAATCTTATAGAAATCAAAGAGTCTACAGATAATAAATGCTGGAGAGAAGGTAGAGAAAAAGGAACCTTCCTACATTGTTGGTAGGAATGTAAATTTGTGCAGCCGCTATGGAGAACAGTATGGAGGTACCTTTAAGTAAACTAAAAATAGAGCTACCATATGACCCTGCAATCCCACTCCTGGGTGTGTATCCAGAGGAAAGCATAATTTGAAAGACACATGCACCCCAGTATTCACTGCAGCACTGTTCACAACAGCCAGGACATGGGTAAGGAGGGTTTGGTGTATTTGGGCAATGAAATAGTACTCAGCCACAAAATTAAAAGAACGAAAGTAATGCCATTAGCAGAAATATGACCTGGAGATTATCATACTGTAAGCTAGAGAAAGACAAATATCATATGACATCGCTTCTATGTGGAATAAAAAATACAAATACAAATGCATTTATACTCAAAACAGAAATAGACCTACAGACATAAAAAATAAAATGGTTGCCAAAGGGGAAATGGGGAGAGGGATAAATTAGGGATATTGGATTAACAAATACACATTGCTATATGTAAAATAGACAGCCAATAAGGACCTACTGTATAGTACAGGGAACTATATTCAGTATTTTGTAACAACTTACAAGGGAAAAGAATCTGAGAAAGAGTATATATATGTACATTTAGATTACTTTGTTGTAAATCTGAAACTAATAATATTCTGAATCAATTATACTTCCATAAAAATATTACAACATATTAATCTTTATGAAAAATTAATTCATAATACTTTGTGTAATAGTATTTTAATATGAGAGAGACGATTTTATATGTAACTCAGGAAAAAAACAAAGTTGTAATAATTTCCACTGCAAAGCCATGGCCAATGGCTATATGAATTGTTTTCCCTGATTAAATTAGGTGAGACCAAAATAGATGGGGAAAAAAAAACAACTGAGGGATCACAAGAGACTGAAAATCATAGAAAACCTAGTGGTGCCTGTGAAATTGAGTCCAGTAAAAAAAAAATAAAGAAGAATGGTCTTCCCTGGTGGCTCAGATGGTAAAGAATCTACCTGCAATGCAGGAGACCAGAATTTAATCCCTGGGTGGGGAAGATCCCCTGGAAAAGAGAATGGCAACCTACTCCAGTATTTTTGCCTGAAGAATCCCGTGGACAGAGGAGCCTGGCTACAAAGAGCGACTGACACTTTCATTTCACTTTTCAAAGAAAGAATGGAAGCGTTTCTTGTGGGTAATGAGACCACTAAAGGTATAAAAAGTAATTTCTCTTCAGACTTCTCACCAGAGCCCAATTCAGGAATTCATTGGCTGAATAAGTCAGACTAACAGCTCTGATGTGAGGGGCTAGCTTACTGGTGAGACGAAAGCAAACACAAAAACTGATACAAGAGGAAAAAAGAAGCAAGAATCACATTTAAGAAAACCTGTTATATCCTGAAACATGCTAAGTATAGTAATTCTCTAGAATTTTCCCTGGTGATCTAAAGTTCCCATTTACAGGAAAGGCAAAGAAAGGGACCCTTTTCAGGATTATCAGGTGCAGCCTGAAGTTCGACAAAAGGAAGGACTCTTTCCCACGCCTTCCTGAAGCTTCCTGGACCACACGTTAAGAGGCAGAAAGGAAGAAAACAAACATTCAGAAAGATAGTCTAATGAGCCAACCTAGGGCTGAGTACTTCAAATGAACCATCTTTCATCCCCAACAACCATTTGAAACAGACCCTGTTATCTTTGATTTACAACTCCAAAAACAGAGAAGAAATGTGACCCAGTTGAGGAGTTGGAGCAACTGACGCTTACTGCCCAGAACTAGTCTGGGTCTGCTGGTCCCGTAAGTCTGAGCTCAGATGGATCTACAGAGTGGAGAAAGCCCATAAACTGAGGGAGGCAGCTCTCTGCCTTGGGACCCCGTGGAGATCTGTCCCCAGGAGGATCAAGGCCCCTGCCCTCAGTCAGGGCCCACATCCCCTCCTTCGCCCCACAAGCGTGTGAGGACACGGAACAGTCAGCAGCCATGGGACGGAGCAGTCAGAAGCTGTGGGAGAGGCCCCTTTCACTGGGTCTGCCTGGCTCATTGTAACTACCTGTTGCGACAGACAGTACCAGCTTCAAGAACTCTCTCCACCTGTCCCCACCCCGCTTTGGAGTGCCCATTCTTCCAGCCTAGCCCCGCTTCCCAGCAGATGACAGACCAGGAAAATGCTGTCATTCAGGAAGCCCCCCGCTCGCCGGGGTCAGACTGGCCTGGAGGACTCATCGCCAGAGATGACATTTCACACGTGGAGGGACGTAGTAAGGGCAGTGTGTGTGTTTTAGAGAAAGTCAGTGTGTTGGTTGAACCAAACTCTCTTCATCTGCACCCAGATCACATCAAGCACATTTCAAACAAGGTTCAAGCAAAACCTTCTGTTGTAGGGTGTGTATGTATGTGTGTGTGCTCGGTCACGTCTCTTTGGAGCCCCGTGGGCTGTAGCTGGCCGGGCACCTCTGTCCACGGGATCCTCCACGCAAGGATCCTGGAGTGCCTTGCCGTTTCCTTCCCCAGGCAATCTTCCTGACCCAGGAACTGAACCCATGTCTCTTGCATCTCCTGCATTGGCAGGTGGGTTCACTGCACCACCTGGCCAGTTTTTCTAGAGTCCCTATGTGCTTCAGAGAATCCAGCCTGTTTTGTTTTTTGGCTCCTGGAAGCACTCTTCCCATTCTATGCATTTCCTCTGATTGGCATTTCAGGTGTTTAAGGAGGAAGCGTTAAGCTCAACAGTGGATGGCAGAAAGTGACCCAAAGTGACTCCACTGGTCAGTGGGGGACTGGACGCTCCGCTTCTCCTTGGGAAACCTTGTGTATTTATTCCCACGTTTTCTCTAAGCGTTCTCTAATACTTGAGGGTCAGATTGGGAAAATAATTTGTATTTAGTTTCTCAACCATCAGAGGTTTAATTCCCACCAAACAAGCAAAATAAAGGACAGAGAGTCCACCTTCATCACACATTTGTGTACACAGAAAGCTTCCTGTGCTGGGGATGAAGATGGAGTGAGCTGCAGCTGGAAGGGAGGAGATGGTGAGGAAGGAGTAGATGCTTATGGAGCAGAGAAGCAAAGAAGCCACGAATTCAAGGTGAGGCCTCTCCTTCCCGGGTGTCCTCATAGCACAGGAGATTCCCTCTCACCTTCCCTGCATAATGATCCAGTCTGCCCTCCTCAGAGGAAGTCTCCTTCATTTTCACCTTTCTGAGGAACCTCCCACTCACCCCCTCTTATCAACCAGATTCGCTGCACGGTTAATCTCCCTTCATTTCTTCTTCACAACCGCACGGATTCCAACACACCAAGATGTTCCGCGGAACAAAGGCAGGCTCCTTCTGTTCCACCCTGCTTGCTGTTGTCATCCACTCAATGTGGTGAGCAGACTGTTTCAGGTGTCTTTAAGGTGAGTTTCAGGTGTCTTTCTGAGCCCCACCAGACACATTTCTGCAGAGATGGAGCCAGGCAAGTGTGCAATGACGGATGAAGACAGTCAGTGACCCTTTCAGGAGCAGAGCTGGCCAGTTTGCCCAGCAGCTGAAAGACCAGGATGGAGCTTGGACTCTCTCCTCGGTGGGGAGGAGTGGGCAGGATTCCCGGAGCACAGCTCTGCCCTGGGGCCAGTCTGCTAGATCCCTCATCTCAAAGGGATCCCGTTGATTTGGAGGAGAAAGCTGCTTTCAAATGCAGTCTTTACGATCAGTGCTTAGTCAAGGAAGACTTGTATTGAACAAAATGGTTGCGGCATACGGGGTTCCAAATATGCGGGAGTGTTTTGGGCACAGTTCCTATTGAGGAAATATTTTTGTCCTAGCAGGCTGTAATTAACTACAAACCTTGCATTTCATGTTGTAAAAGACAAACTGGAAAGCAATTCAGCCTGTTGAATTTTAATTTTATATGAAATAAAATTTCAAACACACTCAATATATTGACTTTTATACTGAAACAAACTAAAGGAAGAATAATGTTATAGCTCACCGTGCAAGCTGTTACCCCGAGCAGCTGGTCACTCAGAGCACTGGGATGGTGGTTACACGTAGATGTTGTGCCGTTAACTTCTTTACTCTGAGGAGGTTCCATTTGTTTGAGACAGACTGATGTAGTGAGGCTGATCTCTTTGGTCTTGAACAATCTTTGTCTTTCATCTCTCTACTCCCAGCGACTTGTATGTGACCTGGTCTGTGACAGACTTCAGTAAATGTTTTGTGAGGGAAGCTAGCAAATCTATCACTTAACATAAGACTCCATCTGGTGAATTAATATATATTATATGCCAAGTAACCCACTCCAGTATTCTTGACTGAAAAATCTCATAGACAGAGGAGGCTGTCGGGCTACATTAGCAAAGAATCAGACACGACTGAATGACTTAGCATGAGCATATGCCAAGTACCCGGAGGTGATTTTCAGTGGAAACAGACTGAGTTCTCTACATCATGGTCTGAGAATGCCATAAACAAAAATTACAATAAAAACACCTGGCATTTTCTTGATAGCTTTCTGACCATGCCTTTTACCAGTGAATTTCAAACCAACCAATGTGTATTGAGTAACATTTGTGTGGTTTGTTTTTGTGCTTTAGTATGTGTGCTGCCAAATCGAGCACAGTTTTTGTGCTTTAAAAAGACTTCTGCCTCACAAAGGAACTTAGAGAAATGGGGTATCAGTTACTCAAATCAACATAATTGTTTAGTAGTTAGAAGATGTTATGGAGGATTATAGGGGATTTCCTGGCAGCTCAGCTGGTAAAGAGTCTGCCTGAAATGCAGGAGATCCCAGTTCAATTCCTGGGTCGGGAAGATCCTCTGGAGAAGGGTTAGGCTACCCACTCCAATATTCTTGGGCTTCCCTGCTTCAGATGGTAAAGAATCTGTCTGCAGTGCAGAGACCTGGGTTGGATCCCTGGGTTGTGAAGATCCCCTGGAGGAGGGCATGGCAACCCACCCTAGTATTCTTGCCTGGAGAATTTCCATGGACAGAGGAGCCTGGTGGGCTACAGTCCATGGGGTCACGAAGGGTTGGACATGACTAAGCGACTAAGCACAGCACACATAGGGTTATGCATTATTTGGATGGCAGGATACAACACAGAGATGCTCAAATAGACGAAAGGCAGAGCTCTGGTTCCTTCTGGCTCTGAAGAAGAGAAGGCAGCCCCGGGCCACACCTGCAAACCATAGCTTGGTACAGCAAGCTGGGAGGGCTGAGTCAGGCTGAGAGCTGTCTGTGAATTGGCTAACTTGAGTCACTTCTTGGGCTCTGGGGCACAGAGCTGGCCTTAGTTGATTGACAACTGTTCCAGGGCAGCTACCGTGGCTTCCTAGTGGCCTGGAGTGTCAGAGTCTCACAAGGGAAGTAGTTGGGGCATTTGTTGTTGTTCAGGCCACTAACTCTTTGCAACTTCGTGAACTATAGCACGCCAGGCTCCTGTGTCCTTCACTATCTCCCAGAGTTTGTGCAAATTTCATGTCCATCTCATCCTCTGCCACCCTCTTCTCCTCTTGCCTTCAGTCTTTTCCAGCATCAGGATCTTTTCCAATAAGTCGGCTCTTCGCATCAGGTTGCCCAAGTACTGGAGCTTCAGCTTCAGCATCAGTCCTTCCAATGAATATTTAGGATTGATTTCCTTTAGGATTGACTGATTTGATATTGTTTCAAGTCCAAGGAACTCTCAAGAGTCTTCTCCAGCTCCAAAATTTGAAAGCATCAGTTGTGCATCAGCTGGGGCACAGATATCAGTTGCTTAAGAAGAGAAACTGGTCTTTGGCCAGGGTCTCAAAACTCAATCAAGACAATGTTTCAAAAATCCCCAGAACATCTTATGTTGCAATAATGTAATAATGTGTCTTCAGGTGAGTGTCAGATGGCATCAATGCCATTCTTCTCCCAAGCAGAACTTTGCTAAATCCCTTACACCACATCATGACCTTTGTATGTGTGTGTGTGTGTGTGATGTGGAAATGCATGAATTACAAAATTTTTGTGACTGGGTTGAGAGAGAACATGATCACAGGTGCTCTTTAGAGACATTTTAAGCACTGTGACTGGTGTACAAACTAAAGTCATGCTCGGAATTGGGGCCAGATGAACGAAATGTGCTAAATTCTGCATATTCCAAAGGCATCTGTTGACAAATTGCTATCGTGACCTGGCTGGGGTTTGAAGAAGTGAGTGTTTAAATGCCTCCTCCAAAGGTACTGACTGTGGGTGCCGCTGTCACCAAATGCCATGGGTACTAGCCTGAGAGTGACCGCCTGTGTGCTGGGGGCAGCTGGTGCTTTGCAGCGGAGCCGTGGGGGTGGAGCTATCACTCTGATTGGCACGTGAACCTGACGCCTGCCTTAACTCCCATGGCAGGACTTTGGGTTGACCAGCTGACTGTAACCTCTTTAGGGTTTTGTGTAAAACCTGATTAGTTATTAAGAGGGTGATGACAACTGCAGATCTGATATTATTTAGCTAAGGTTGAATACTATTCCTTTTTTGAAGCGTGCATTTGGTTAGAGACATGAAAGTATTTTTTGTCATAGAAATCTTACAACTTTTCTCCTACTAGTATTTAGAAAGCTACATATCAGCTTCCAGATTTCACTATACTTTTTATCATGTGTCACACTAAGTAAATACAGGATTATTTAGGAAGGAATGATACTCTCAGTTACATACACACGTGTGTGTGTATATATATATATATGTTATATGCATGGTGTGTATACACATACATATAAATGCCTTCATGCTTAGTCGCTCAGTTGTGTCCAGCTTTTTGCAACCCTGTGGACTGTAGCCCACCCGGCTTCTATGTCCATGGAATTTTCCAGGCAAGAATCCTGGCGTGGGCTGCCATTTCCTCTTCCAGGGGTCTTCCTGTGTCTTCTGGTGTCTCCTGCGTTGGCAGGTGGGTTCCTTCCCACTGAGCCACCTGGGAAGCCTGTGCGTGTGCCTGTAGATATATATGGTACACACGCACTTCAGTTCTACCATTGACAGAAAGAGGCTTTACTCCTCCACATCTGATGCTTTTCTTTTCTAATGGAAGGAGTTGAACTAGATGGAAGATTTTATTTAGGTTTTACAGCCTTGATTATGTTAAAAGGAGAAAAAAAAAGAGGAAAGAAGTTTAATACTTGATGGTTACAGAATATCTGTACTTATTGCATTTTAATTTGCTCAAAGGAAGAGACAGTAGTTGATCTCATGTCCTTGCTAATTTCTTCAGAGCTCATAATTTAATATATTAGCATAAAATGAGGTGGGAAAGCTGACTAATTTTCCTTTACTTGTAACATACCTTAAGGAAAATTTTTTTATTAATCTACAAGCCCCCAGGGCAGATGATAATAACAAATAATGAGAGCAGATGAGAGAATGACAGACTCATTTGTGGCCTACCAGTCCTAGCCCCCAGTGGAAAAAAAAAATTAGAAAAGAATTCATGCAATAATTTTAAAACAATCCCTGAAGGGGGCAGGATCTCTTAAGACTTAACACTATTTATCTTTAAAAATCTCTTTCCAATTAAACATACTGATACTTGGAATTAAATAAAAGCCTTGGAGGGTAGGTGGTACTTTCGCTTTGAACAATTTAAAATGCAGACATCTCAGATATACCAGTGGTGACTGAAGATTTCCTAAGATCAAAGACTCATTTATTTGAAAGAAAGAGATGTAATTCCACAAAGCTCTTGTACAAGACCCTAGAGTAATTACAATCAATCTATTATTAAAGAGAAAAGAGACAAAATATGTTGATGAGGATGTGGAGAAAAGGGAATCCTTATAAACTGTTGGTGGGAAAGTAACTCAGTACAGCTGCTATGGAAAACAATACAGAGGTTCCTCAAACAATTAAAAATAGAACTACCATATGATTCAACCATTCCACTTCTGGGTAAAAATCCCAAAGACTTGAAATCAGTATCTTGAAGAAATATCTATATTCCTATGTTCATTGTAGCATTGCTCACAGTTGCCAGGGTATGGAAACAACTTAACTGCCCTTCAATGGATGAAGACATAAAGAAAATACACACACTGGAAAATTATTCAGCTGGAAAAAAAAGGAGGAAATCCTGCCATTTGTGATGACGTGGATGAACCTGGATGGCATTAAGTGAAATAAACCAGACAGAGAAAGGCAAATTTTACATGGTGTCATTTATATATGGAAACTTTTCTTTTAAAAAGCTGATAAGCTGATTATAGAAACAGAATAGAATAATAGAATAGTGAATACCAAGGGCTAGGAGGAGGGGAAAATAAACTAATGTAAGTCATAGCTTATACATTTTCAGTTATAAATCCTGAGGATTTAATGTACAGCGTAGTGCCTTGACAACTATAGTTAAAAACACAATATTAATATTTTATATGTATTTTAAAGTTGCTAAAACTGATCTTAAACATTCTCACAAAAAAAAAGGCAAAAAGAAGAAGAGGAAGAAGGAGGAAGTGGAGATGAATAGACATTAAGAAATACAGACTGAATTCCGTAGACAGAGAAGCCCGGCAGACTACAGCCCATGGAATCGCAGAGTCGGACACCAATGAGTCACTAACACTTGCACAGACTGAAATCATTATCTCAAAGAGCGTTATTCACACCAAGCCCTTTTCACAACAGTCAACAGGTCGAAACAACCCATATGCCCATATAGACAGATGAATAGATAAAGAAAATGTTGTTTATACATACGACAAAATGTTAGCCTTAAAAAAGAAAACTCTCGCCACATGCTATAATGTGGGTTAACCATGAAGACATTAATTAAAACAGCCCAGTTGCAGAAAGGGCAATACTTTGGTTCCACTTATACGAAGAATGTGAGTAGTCAGAGATGCCAAAGGTGGAATGGCGGTTGTTGACGAGTGGAGAGAGCACCGTGGTAACATATATATGACCATATCTACAAAATAGACAACCAGAGAGCTTGCTATATGACTTAGGGAGCTCAGACTGGGCCTCTGTGAAAGTCTAGAGGGGTGGGATGAGCTGGGATGCAGGAGGGAGGCTCGTGAGGGAGGGAACATACGTATACCGATGGCTGATTCCTGCTGATGCATGGCTGAAACCAGCACAATATAGTAAAGCAATTATCCTTCAATTAAAAATAAATACATTTAAAAAATAGTGGTTGTAAGAGGACAGGGTGAGAGGGTAATGGGGAGTGGTTCGATGGTAATAGACTTTCGGTTTTGCAAGATGAAGTAGCTCTGGACATCTGTTCCACGGGGGTATGAATATAGCATTTAAATATAATTAATCTGTGTACTTAAAAAATAAAGGAAATACAGGCTTGATTGAGAGCACACCGACAGCAGTAAACCACGTAGAAGATTTCTCCCCCTGGGGACTCATAGGAGTCAAAGTATCAGAAACAGTGAGTTAAAATTTTGCCTTTAACCTGCTAGCCTATATGTTTCTTTCATGAATACAAGAGCTGAAAATTCTAGTTTGCATAACAGTCTCCTACTAGCTTTTATCATTTATAAGTCTACACCTTTATTAACTACTCTTTAGCCCCCAGAAGAGATTTATAATACAAACATTATTTTGAAGCAAACCATTTTGGCAGGCAGGCAAGATTTTGCCACTCAGAGACTCTATCTATCGAGTTTAGCTCTGCCGAAACATCCAAATAGTGTACATGTATATCCAGAAAAACAGCCACGTTTATTTACCTTTTGTATCCCCAGAAGTAACCCAGAGCCTGGTACAGAGCTTGGTGGGTGATCCACAACCTCTGGGTGGTGTTGGTCCTTGAAGATAAAGAATTGTGCTTCATACTTTCATTGTCTCGTCTTTGCGTTTTGGGATGTACCAAACACCTATGTGACTCACAGGAAATGTAAAAGCTAACTGCTGGATTTGTACACTTTTAAAAAATCATTATTTCTGTCCATCCAAGTGCAAGGAAAACAGCATATCTCATTCTCATCCCGGCTGTTCATCAAACTGTCTGCATGTTCAGGCAGAGGGAAGCCTGGTGCTCCTGTCTTGGTTTCTTAGGAGTGACATATGTAAAATGTCATCACATTTCCCAAAACAAAAGTGAGGACAGTTGCACAGCAAATCAGCATTGTGCCATTTCCAGATGCAAGAGGATGCCCATGATGTGCTTTGAATGTCTATCATTGTGATATCTGAGTCATTTCATTGATTCAGAAAATAAAAGAGTAATTTAAGCTGGAAAATATCCTGAATATTTGAGATGTGTATGGCTTTCAAATTTAGCATATAATGTCATCATAAAATATAAAGATCTGTTTTTTTTCAGAAAATTTGAAGCATCAGGATTAAGATAACCAAAAATAGGACAAACCAAAAATAGAACAAACCAAACCAACCAAACAACCAGACAGACAAAAGCCAGGCCATACTTAAGGGAAAAGCAAGTAAATTTTCTTAAGCCTATTTCCAAACCACCTCCTCAGAGTAGGATAAGTATAAATTAACTCTTTTGGGGGGCTTATTTTTTTCTTATAACATCATTAGCATAATATTCATTGCACAGAAATCATATTTGAATTTAGCAAATGTGAGTTTCCACAAGTCCACATTTTTGCCTACTTTGGTGGACAATCAAGCTTGCATTTTCTAACAAAATAGAAGGTAAAAGTAAGAAAGAATTCTTGATGAAAGGTGAAGTTGATATACCATTAGGTATTAATCACCTGGTCATTTTAATCATGGTGCAGAAATTGGATTAATAAGGCAGCATATGATAATATGTTGTGGTCTAGTTGCTTGGTCATGTCCGACTCTTTGGGACCCCAATGGACTGTAGTTAGTCAGGCTCCTCTGTCCATGGATTCTCCAGGCAAGAGTACTGGAGTGGGTTGCCACTCCCTTCTCCAGGGGATCTTCTTAGCCCAGGGATCGAACCTGCGTCTACTGCATTTCAGGCAGATTCTTTGCTGCTAAGCCACCAGGGAAGCCCAGGGGGAGCATCATTTTCTGTACTTTCTTATAATTTTAACATTCCTGAAAGTTACCTCAGTTAAACACTGTTACACCAACACCACCTATCTGTAAGCAGGAATATATTATAATTCCCTAAGTCCCTGGTAATCTATTCTTTCTGTCTGACATAGTCAGTCCATCCAAAGAGAAGGCTTTGGTTGACTTTCTTAAAAATCTTTTTTTTTCATAAAAGGTAAAGACATAATTCATAATAAATATATATACAAATATATATGCATTTATAAATATGTACATATATATATACACACATTTGTGATATATACATTTGTGATACATTAAAATCACTATCAATCTAAGAATTCCTGGACGAGAACTGGAACAAGGGAAACCCAGGCCACTCTGTCTGGTTTTGCCCTCTTCTTCCCAGGGTGACAAAGGCAAGGTGATAAGGTCAATGACAGTTTGCTTGAACATAGTTGTATTATCAGCAATAGATGCATTAATATGCAAATGCAGAAACCTAGGTTTTTACAAGTTAAAGGGTTTGCTGGAGGGCCTGGGACTGGAAGGAGGTGGCCGCTTCTTCCCACAGGTGCGGCACCAGAAATCACAGCAGAGAAGGAGCGGGTCTGCAGAGCGGGAGGCCCTGAGCCCGCATGGACCTGCCTCCTAGAGACGTGAATCAGTGGAGTCAGCGCAGTGTTAAGGGGAGTATGAAGTACGTAGAACACTAATGTGACTCAAAAATAAAATAAAATGTGTGGCTCTGGGCTTAGTGAAGGAATAAAAGAAGATTTGTAGTTAAGAAGTGGTTTTAACCCCATTCAAACTTCTGTGCCTGGCTCCTTTTTACTCCCATAGGTTTGATCTACGCACACGGATTTTACTAGCTTTCAAAGCTATAGTAAATATTTTTGAAGAGCGTAGGGTAAATTTTCTTGAAGAAGACCATCTATGTTTGGAATAAGAGAGTTAGAACACACTGTGTAACTTCAGTAAGCTTCTTTAGGACCTGTAGGAACACTGAGGGTCAAACTTCTCAAGACTCAGAAGAACAGAAATTGTTCTCTTGGACTGACGCCCCTGCAAAGCCCCGAAGATGCTGCTCCAGCCCTGCTGGGTGCGGTGTTTTGAGAGAGGCTGGTGCTGGGTCTCTGGTGACTTGTCTGGGCATGCCCGGTGCTAAGTGGAGCAAACCAGGGCACGTCCAGATGGTAGTTCTGGGGAAGGAAGCAAAATGACTCAGCTCAAGTCAGGCTCTGGGTGTGGCATTTCAGGGTGGGATTATCCTGATTATCCCAGAGTCTGTCGCAGAGAAGAGGGGCAGAAGGGAGGGCCCTGCGTCCAGCCTGCACAGTCTCTGGATGCTCCCAGCACCCAGGCAAATTTGTGGCTGCCCAGAAAAGACAACGAGACCTTTCAGGGTTAGAACTGGCCAGAGCCCAAGAGGCTGACTTGGTGGTTACCTCCAAGTGGCTGCAAGCAGGACGCAGTGAGGGACAGTTTATGCACATTGAGTGGCATAGGTATTACTGTTCCCTTCTACAAAGGAGGATTCGGAGAAACAGAGAGATATGTAGATTTTCCTGATTTAAATGGCTATTAAAAAGGGAGAAAACAATACCATTAAGTGTTATAAAAACACTATAACAATAAAATGAAGAGAATAAAATTTAGTACCTCTTGTAATGAATTTGAAAATCTCTAAGAAATGCATTTTTAGAAGGATATAAATATAAATCAAATTACATACACAAACACACTTAGACCACATGTATGTGAACTCATTCAATTCTGCAAAAATCTGAATGGCTTCTTAATAGCCATGGAAGGAATTTAAAGGGTTATCGATATTACTGGTGAATATAGAGTCCCTATTCATAAATAAAACCCTGGCAGGTTTAATTTGAGAGGATAATAAAATTAGTGAGAATAATATGTTTATGATGCAGCGATATTTCACAACTGGAAAAATTCATTAATATAATTCATCTAGTTGATAGTTTTTACCCACAGTGGTTCCTTATAAGAAGTTACTCTGTACAGGGATGTTTTAATATCCAATTTATAGATGGTTTGCATCCTTATTTTTTTAATAACAGCATTTGTTTAGTTTTATGTGGTTACTCGCAGCTGCTCTTCTCTAAGATGGAAAGCATCCTTGGATTCTTTTTTTCCCAGTGCTACAATTCAGGGTACTTTGCAGCTAGAACCTCTGATGGTTAAGTTCCTCAAATGATAGATTTGGCATACTTTCTTCATTATATTTTATTTATTTTTTGACCATGCCTCGGGCCTGTGGGATCTAGTTCCCCGACTAGGGATTGAACCTGCACCCCCTGCATTGGAAGTGGAGTTGTAACCACTGGACCACTAGGGAAGTCCCTCGCTTTCTTCATTTTAGAGTATCATAAACAGAAAAATAAGAATCACCCCAACTCCATTTCCTAGAGACAGTTCAGTTCAGTCACTCAGTCATGTCCAACTCTTTGTGACCCCATGGACTGCCACACACCAGGCTTCCTTGTCCATCACCAACTGTTGGAGATTACTCAAACTCATGTCCACCTAGTCGGTGATGCCATCCAACCATCTCATCCTCTGTCATCCCCTTCTCCTCCCACCTTCAATCTTTCCCAGCATCAGGGTCTTTTCCAATGAGTCTGTTCTTCGCATCAGGCTGCCAACATGCTGGAGCTTCAGCTTCAGTATCAGTCCTTCCAATGAATATTCAGGACTGATTTCCTTTAGGATGGACTGGTTGGACCTCCTTGCAGTTCAAGGGACTCTCAAGAGTCTTCTCCAACACCACAGTTCAAAAGCATCAATTCTTCAGTGCTCAGCTTTCTTTACAGTCCAACTCTCACATCCATACAAGACTACTGGAAAAACCATAGCTTTGACTAGACAGACCTTTGTCAGCAAAGTAATGTCTCTACTTTTTAATATGCTGTCTAGGTTGGTCATAGCTTTTCTTCCAAGGAGCAAGTATCTTTTAATTTCATGGCTTCAGTCACCATCTGAAGTGATTTAGGAGCCCCTCAAAATAAAGTCTCTCACTGTTTCCATTGTTTCCCCATCTATTTGGCATGAAGTGTTGGGACTGGATGCCATGATCTTAGTTTTCTGAATGTTGAGTTTTAAGCCAGCCTTTTCACTCTTTTTTTTCACTTTCATCAAGAGCCTCTTTAGTTCTTCTTCACTTTCTGCCATTAGGGTGGTGTCATCTGCATATCTGAGGTTATTGATATTTCTCCCAGCAATCTTGATTCCAGCTTGTGCTTCATCCAGCCCGGCATTTTGCATGATGTACTCTGCATATAAGTTAAATAAGCTTCCCTTGTGGCTCAGCTTGTAAATACTCCGCCCCCAGTGTGGGAGACCCAGGTTTGATCCCTGGATTGGGAAGATACCCTGGAGAAGGGAAAGGCTATCCACTCAAGTATTCTGGCCTGGAGAATTCCACAGACTGTATCGTCCATGGGGTTGCAAAGAGTCAGGCGCAACTGAGTGAATTTCGCTTTCCTAGAGACAAGCAAGCTTAATATTTTTTTCTATGCAATCACACTCACATTATTTCAAATGTGATTTCTAATTGGCTTTGCACTTTTCATCTAATAATCAACACCTCCCCATGTCGATTATTAGAGAAATGCTTCTACATTAGTAAGCTCGATGTATAAGAGATTCCTTCTCAGTCGTGAACTGAATAAGGAATTTACAGAATGTGCCTTTAAATAAATGAACTCCCTAAGAAAGTACATGTTTTGGCTGAAACATTATTATCTGACAGTGTCACAGAGGAGAATCCCAGAGTTTTGGAAGTATTGGCAAATGAAAATTAGACTGATAGATGGCATATTTTGAAAATATCTGTCACGTAAAGGAAGAGAAGCAACGTGAAACTGGAATTCACATACAGGCACGGAGTAAGTGTTTTTAGCACATTACCTTGTTTACCGCAAGGAGACAGGTTTTCCCCGCATGAACACTGAACGAAACTGTAGAATAAAGTGCTGTGTACTGTGGTCAGGAAGGACCAGCGCAGGAGTCTGGTCCAGCTCTAAATCAAGACCTTGAGACACGGGGTTTCCAGTTGCCTTCCCAGACACTGGAATAGAGAGACTAAAACACAGTCTAGTAATGGAGATAGAATATGCAAAGTACTTGGCACAAACATGATACTTAGCAAGTGGTTGTTTAGTTGCTAAGTCGTGTCTAACTCTTTGGTGACCCCGTGGATTATAGCCTGCCAGGCTTCTCTGTCCATGGGATTCTCCAGACAAGAATACTGGACTGGGTTGTCATTTCCTTCTCCAGGGATCTTCCTGACCCAGGGATCGAACCCGTATCTCCTGCAATGGCAGGAGGATTCTTTACCACTGAGCCACCAGGGAAGCCCCAGTGAGTGATAGAAAATTATCAGCAGAGGTTGGACAGAACTTTCTACCAGACAACACTTTAAAGATGCAAGCAGAGAGATGCTTACTATAAAATAAAGGATTTTTATTAGAAATTCCATTTGATGCTATAACCACTAATAACTAATCTCAGAACTGAAAATGATATTGCATCTGAAGAGAAGAAAACATGAAAGATGTTAGCTACGTTTTCAAATAGAGTAAGATCTGAAAATCTTACTTGAAAATATTTGTGATTCAATTTAGCCTTTACTTTTTTTTGACAGCCAATTCTGTAAGCATCTGTGTGCATTTTTAATTTCTAAAAAAGTTAAGCAAAGAATAAAAGCACAGTTTCTACAGAAATAATTCTGTTTCAAATAATCATAGGACTAGAACAATAAAACATAATTATGTGAAATGGATTATGTGTAACTTTGAAGAAAGACTGTGGAGGACATTATATGATATGTTCACAGATACATTTTGGCCAAGTTATTCAGTCCTCCTACTCACACCTAAGCTTGGAACAAATGATGAAGAAATATAAGTCTTTGGCGTTAAAACTAAGCAATTTCAAAGACAAAAGGCAAGCCCATTCACTTTACACAGATCTTCATAGGGAGGTATTTTATGAATACAATACCACAATCCAGCTGTTCTGAAATGCCAAGTTTCAACTTTCACTTCTCTTAACCACCCTCTGTATTTTCAGAAGGGATTAGAGTGAGCTCCTCATCTTGTCTATGAACTTAGTGAAGAATCTAATACTCATATAGCCTAGCATCAAAATATTGTCTTCTACAAAACAAGCCAGGACTCCCAGAGCTGGGTCGAGCAGGAATATCACAAGAGGAGTCTGGAACATCTTATTGTGCCAAAAAGCAAACAAGTTCCTAAAGAGTCATAGGAACATATTAACAGCAGCCAGGAACCAGTTGAAAGAGCTGTCTTGGGCCCAATCTATGAAGATGTGAGTATCAAAATAGATAATTACTGTAATAGGCAGTGTATATTGAGTATCATATTGCATTGGAGCCAATCTTGTTACAAGGGGTGAAAACAATGATAACACATTTCTTAGAGTCAAACTCACTAAAAATAACCATGATCTTCAAAGGTTTGGAAAGGCCCTCCAAAGCGCTGGGCACATTCAGTGATAATTCCTGGGTGATTATCAGTGTACAATGCAAACCACTGTTTAACATAAAAATACAGAAGTCTATGTTGATAAAAAAAAAAAAAAACATAAATAAGAGAAGGGAAAGCTGTCTCTTACAATTTGATGACAATTAGAAAAATAGAATGATGC